AAAAAAAAAAAAAAAAAAAAAAAAAAAAACCCAAATCCCTCAGATAGAAAAAGTAGCAGAAGCTTTGGGATTTATTACTATTTTATACAATTCCAAAAGAAGTAGTAATTTTCCTACTAAGATTCCTTAGGTAATAGATAATGAGTGAGAAAACATTTGTACATTTTATACAGTTCTCAGGGTTAGTATGATGCTAGACTGTGAAAGTTCAGAAAGCAAAAGCAAAAAACCCTGAATTATTTCTTCGCTCTGAAGAGTCAGGATAAAACCATTTAACTGTACATATTTTAGACTGATGACACAGAATCAAATAGTGTCTGCATGTAAAGATACCACAATTAGAAAGTAATTGATTTTTTTGTAAATCTATTTTTTTTTTTAAATTGGATTGAGTGTCCAAGAACAGGCCAAGGGAAGTTCACTTATCTAATCAGTGAGTATTTATGTAATTTAGTATATAATTCATGTAAATTACATATTGAATCCATATGCATGGAAATAGACCTGAACTCTAATTCTATTCTCCAAATTTAACCACCGAGCCCAAACCACTTCTTTCTCTTTCGTTTACTGTGCCAGGAATTTTGATTCAACTGGACAGACAGAATATTGCCTGGTATAACTCTCTGCTAATGAGGATGGCTCTCACTAGATAAAAGGTAAGAATTTCTGTTTGCATGGAAAAGTTGCCAGGGTCCTGTTATAGTCAGTCACAGGATTCTGGAGTACAGTAAGTAGAATGCATATTAATTGTGTCCTTCATGGACAGATCTCCTATTACATTTTTAAACAGGTAACCTCAGTTCCATATCCTAAGAAATTAAACAAGAACAAGGTTTAGTCACCAGAAATAGCATTAATCCTAAACCATGAGAGGATCAGAAATCCTGTCACTTCACTATCATTTTCACCATACCTTAGGATTTCATAATGATTAACTATAGGTTAATGCCTGCTCCATACATTCTTGACTGTGGATCTCATTCAGAGGGGCATAACTCTTTTTGTGCTCTATGTAGGCAATGAAGGCGTCTAAGGATGGTTCTGAGTATTAGCTCTTGCAATGTCTTAGTGTATTTATGGATCCTGCCTGAAATAATTTTGTCTGCTGGGTGATGTCATCTCCTAAATTGCATTGATTTTTCTTGAAACTAGTCTTCCAAGTCATTTCAGTCCTTTGTAAACCACTATATAAGTCTTTCAAGAGATTCTCCTGACCCTCATCTCTTTTTCACCACAACAACTATTTCTGTCTTAAAGAGAAGTAGTCACATAGATGAAAATGCTACTAGTGGCAACTGTATTTTTTCTCCTAATAGAAACACACCTGCTTGACAAGTGACATTTTAAACTAAACTCATGATACATGCTTGAATTCAAAATTCTTCCTAATGCACAGGCAAAATAATCTCAACTGAAACGCTCTGGTACTTAATGTATCTCCTCTAAGGAGAAAAAAAACAAGGCAATAAGCCATGCAATAAATATATATTTAGCATACATACTCTCAAGGCATTTCCATCACATTTTACCAGGAAAAGCAATATTTAAAGTGCTCAGTATAGACAGGATTGGCCCAAAACTGAATACACACAATTGCTCAACTGTGTTAGAGAAACAGGATTGAAAACAGAACTTTTTCTTCTTGATTTTTTACTGAAATTCAGAAAAAAACCTCAAATAGTATTTTTTAAGAGGTAAAAAAAATCTCTCCCAAATTGTGCTACTAGCAGCATTGATATAATAATGGAATTCAGAAGGATAGAATGCTATCTTCTTTGGAAATAATTGTCCTCAGGATTCAACTAGCATCCCTGAAGTAAATCACTGCAATGAGAGGTACTCATTTTGCTTTAAATTACCTCTAAAACTTTACATGCCCCAGAATTACAGAAGGGGAGAACTCAGATTGCTATAACCACCTGTACAAGATACAGCATGCCCATCCTTGCATTCCACACACTCATGACATAATATGCAAAAATCAAGTTGATACTTGCCCTTTCCTGTCCCTGTTGCGGGATTGTAGTCCTGCTGTCAATATAAGTCGTCCTCAAGAAAGAGCACAAGATTCTGTTCAACTAAGCATCTCATGTCAGGCTTGAAAGGCTGGATTCCTTTTATCTCTTGTCCTCATTTCCTATCACATACGCGTCGTGCACACGTGTTCACAGTATTTGTGCAGGGAAATATCTATATATGTGCCAAAGCTTAACTGGATAGAATAAACTACTTGGCACCTGAAGACTTCATAGAAGCACTACTCATTCAAAGTGCATCCTAAAACAAACCTCATACTTGGGAAATAATATTATATACAAATTAAAATCATGCATTAGTTATACAGAGTAGCACGAATTGATGGCCATTTTTCTATTCCAATTAGAATAATTTATAATATACAGTACATCCTGTCAGCTACAATGTGCTGACATCTTTACATGAAAGGACAGAAAGAATAATACATTACAATAAACTCCCAGGACAGCATCAATTAACACTGCCAGACTAAGCAGTTCTTCTTACTTATCTTACTAGCGTGGCTTATTTAATAAACAAAACAAGACTTCTCAAGAGGATTGTAATGTCATTAGTTCTATTCTTCCTTTAACCTCCTATGCTGAATAGGGCTTTTTTTCCTCACATTTAGATGTACCTGTCAGAAATGTGACATGTACTTTCTCATCCCGATACTTTATGTCCTTCAATGATGATTCTCCTATGCACTCTCAGTGGCATTCAAATAGGACCTTGGAATATAGCACCCTCTCTTTCTCCTCCTTTGTGCTTTTTCTTAGCACACTTTTTTAAACTCTTCTGTATTTTTCACCTCTAACATTTTTTTTTCCTGTTTTTACTGAAATAGTTACACTCAGCCAATACCATTTTAATCTTGGCATGATCAAAGTCTATCAAAGGTACTTTGGAAAGTAACAAACTACCTCATCAATTTTATTTTATATAAAGACGAGACCTGAAAAGAAAAATAAAAATGGAACCAACTTGGCAAAACATCTGCACACACAAAAAACATCAGCTATTTTATGATATGATTTCCTTCATAATTTTCCAAGTAGAATAGATTACTCAAAATTTTGAGGTTTTGGATGAATCTCAGCATTACAGGTGTATGGGAAGAATAAAAGAGAGGGCTAGGTAGCCAACTGAGGCATAAGGAAAGTGGCTTCCTATATCCAACAATGCCCTGGGATTTCAGTCAAGAAAAAATGTAAAAGGTTCTTTGAAAGAAAGTTAAAAAATAGAAAAAAAAAAAAAAAAAAAAAAAAAAAAAAAAAAAAAGATGAGCAAGACCAAAGCCAAAATATTGAAAAGCTGAATATTTCAGGAATTCTTCTGGGATGTAAAGACCATGCTTGAAGTCCTTGGTCAGTCTGGGAATACAGCATGTTCTGAAATGAGCCTTTGACTTTTTTGTCTCAGCTTAGATACTCTACCTACATGCTTTTGCACCATAAATGTCCACAGATCAGATGATATCTGGCACAATCCTCTAAAACTTGTGGAACTCTCTCAGAACCTCTCCATTAATATCTGTTATTAATTAGCTATGTTTTGGGAAGACAAACAAGTTATGGGACATATTTTTAAGGCAGGGTAGAAAAGTGTGGCTACATATTAATTGATATATGATCTCTTATCCTGTCAGTGTATGAATTAACACATATGCATAAATGACACATGACAGGTTCTTAAAATGCCTAGTGTTTTAAAATAAAGTAGGCACAGAGATGATGACTGGAACAATAATTACTGTTCTTTCTCTCTGTTTAGCAAATCAAAATTTAGGGCAGACCACAATGTCCTTGTCATCCTCTCTAACTTGATGACTTAGAAATAATTTTAGTGAAAACTTGTCTTCTGTCACCTGTGTCCTTGAGAGATAAGAATATTTTCTGTAAGAGTGGACAGAAGGATTTAAAATTCAACTATTTGTTGCAGGGAATGTCGCTGAAGAACAATGAAGTACCACAAATAGAATCGGAACACAATATGACACTGAATTATTCCCCACAACTGAATGCAAACCAAATGTATTCTAAATCGAAAGAGCTCCCAAAATTAATTACATCTCTGAAACTAAACTCTAGCTTATATTTCTTAGAGGAATGAAAGAAAGTTGTATCAAGTAAAAAGTTTTCAAAAAGTGAAGATAGAAAGCTTTCATATTGACAAAAAAAGAATCCTTACCATGTCTAATTTTCTAGTATCTTAACAGTATTCTTTTAATCTTGGACAAGGAAAAATATGGTAAAATTTTTATAAGCTTTAATATTTTATTTTCACACTAATCCTTTTTGTTTCTGCTGTTATGAAATGAATTAAACTTATCCTTTTAATGAAGAGTAACAACAAAAATTTTCTTTCATATGTAAAGAGTTTCACAAACAGGAAGTCTATGTCACTTAATGCCATCTGCAATTCTTTATCAGACAGACAGTGAAAAAGCCATTTTGTTTTCTGATAAACCAGAAGAAATGATCATATGAAGGATTTTTGAAGAGGTCCTTACCTTTGAAGTCTCTTGCAGTTTCTTTTGGTAGTCTATGGAAACAGGGTATTTACCTGTTCAAAGAAGATAAGGTATCATTAGTGATATCTCAGAATACATATCATAAGTAAACCACATTCATCAGTTAGTTAAATATATATGGATTAATCTTAATTAGGTTCCCCTCTGTGTATTTCTCTGATTCTCATCAAGGAAGCTGCAGGGTTCATGAAACACGATATGCTCTGAAAAATGCAAAAGGTTATAAGAAATTATCTCAATGTGATTCAAGTAGCTTTTAAGTGCTGACCTCCCACTTATTTTTGCATTTATGGGCAAAACACCTTTATTAGTCTAAGCATATTTCAGTACTTGTTTTAAGGGCTAGCAACAGAATTTTCAACAATATCTGAAATCCCAGTGACTATGCTTACAGAGAATTTTGTAGTCTAGCATTTTCTTTTATCTTGTTCCTTTCCTCTTCACCTGCTCTCTCTTGTCTAGCACCTCTGGTTTAAGTTCTGATGGATCAAGGCCATTTTTTATTTCTCCAATTCTGACTCAGAGGTGTTATAACACTGAAGATAGGAAAATAAATACTTAGCAATTTAGCATATGGTACTGTTATAAGGTGCATACAAAAATATTTACTAATTGCTCATACTACCTATTTAGTAATCTATTTTAAAAAGTTCATTAAATTTTCTGCATCAAATAGCTTATTCTGAACTTACAATATCAGGAAACATACAAAGAAACAAATCAATTTCCAGAGCTAAAATTAACTCATTTTTCATTCCTTTCATGACTTCAGTGATCACAGAACACATATTTTGTAGAAATTTCACCTTATTTCCTGTTAGGTTGTAGCATTTGGAGGCATATCCCAACAGAGTGGAAGCCTCATAAATGCAGCTTTCTGATAAGAGCACATCAAATTTACTGTCTCACTTCAGTGCATCTGTTGTTTTTCATTTATTTTCATCACTTTAAAAGTACTGTAATGATAACTGAAACTTTCTTTTTGCGTTCAATATGAAAACATGAAATATGCCCCCAAGATTGCATATGCAGATGATAGCAGTGTTTCACTCTATTTCAAGAGCAAAATTTGCAGGAGTCTTTTTGGTAAAAAATAAGTTGCTTTCATTTCTGCCATGAAAAAAGTTTTTAGTGACAGTGTTTCCAGGAAAAAAAAAACCAAAAAACTAAAACAGTAGTTGAATGGGAAAGTACAAGTAGGAGTGAGAAAAAAAATTATTTGTAAACATAAGGAAAGAAAAAAGGATTTTACTCTTTCCATCACTATTTACTACACTAGTAAGAGCCTTCATATTTATGCTATAAAACAATTTGCAGCTAAATATCTTTTATATGTAAAACTCATTTAAAAAAATAAGTTACTAATCTTTAGTAAAGAAATTATTATGTAGTAAAAAATGGGGCAGATTTACCCCTATGGGCAAAAATGAGGTAGAAACTACTCTTGTCACCTGTGTATGTCAGCCTTTATAGCAAGAAAAACTGATAAATATAAGATAAATAAGAAAAAGGAGTTTAGTTTCATTTAAAACACTGTATTACTGATTGGGATGTCATGCAAAGATACATTGCATTCCCACCTCTGCCCAGAACGTTTGAGAACCATATTCTGGCAGAAAGACATTGAGCACTAAAATCTGTTCATTATTTAATACAGCTTATGTCCCCTTTTTTGGAAGGACTTATGACCTTAGGAATGACTATACATTTTTACTGCAATGACATAATTATCTGCTACTGAATATTCCAAAATCAACAGAAATACTGACCTGAAATTTCAGACATACATAAATGATGACTTATAGCTTTGGGTATGCTCAACATTTTGAAAAAGATATCCATGTATTTCTACAGCAAGTATTTTTTTGCCTAGACACCTTAAAAACAAATATTTACAAAACCATACATGTAGAAATTTACAGATACGCATAATTTGATGAAATTTAAAAATTTACTATTGAAAAAAACATGCACTTGTTTATCCACTGAAACCAGTCATTTACGCTTACAAATTCTCCTTATGTTATCAATGATTATCTGAAATGGCTTCTGAGCAGATAGTTCAATATTTTGGGAACTGCAGAGTGGATAAATTACTTATTTTGGGGATTGCAAAATGGGATAGCTACACACATTCTCAAAGCAAAGATATTCTCTCCAAGGGATTATGTACTAAAAAATACATTTTAGTCTGAAGGATAAGAAAGATAAAATCACATAAATATATAATGAAAAAATAGCCTGGGAAGTTCACAATTTTTTGGGTGATCTTCTCATTATAATGGAAGAAAATATTTAAAATAAGTTACTTCCTCTTTTTGTTCAGTTGCATACTTAAAGAACAATAAATTCTATTTCTTTTCACCGGCTGTTTCTTGAACTATTTGATACTGTCATTGATGTTCTTCTGTTTGGGGGTGTTGGAGTTGTTTCTGTAGCAAACAAAACCAATATTTTCGCTGTAAATATTGACTAATCCTTTGCCATTCTCATCACAAGGAAATACTACTGTTCCAAAGTTGAGCATATGTTTTTGATTGTATGGGCCTTTTCATCACGCAAGCATATGCTACTAGGTAAATATAGAGCTGACACATCCTTGCATTATCTAAAGTGATTAATAGCTATAATTATGGGTGGCAAACATCTATTCTAGCACTGCTCTTTGAAAAAGATGTTCATGAAACTGAGGCCAGAGTAGATCTGAAGATTGCTAAATTAAGTATTGTTACCATGGTAGCCACTCATTGTACACTGTATCAGAGCAGAGTGAGCAAAAAGACCTTTCCAAAACATTACCAAGTTCTTCTGTCTTTAAACATTTCTATGAGTTTTTGAGGTGTTAATTCAGAATGTGTTAATCTGTAATAGTCCTGTCAAATATATTCATTTTACATACTGTGAAGTCTTCTAATGTATTTTAGAATGCAGATTTTCTATCATGCCTCACTAAACATTGAGGAACTCAGGCATTCCTACAAGTGAAAGAGAAGGCGTTTTGTTTAATGGCAGTTTTTGAATTACAGCTATTACTTGAGCTACTTGGTGGATTACCAGTTTTTCTAACTGTTAATCTTCAGAGTGCATCCCAGGACAGTCTGTTTGGGTAGGTGACTGCAAGGCAGTAGAATTTGTACTCTGTCAGCGTCTTTGCTTCCACACGTGTTTGATTACGTGCACGTTTTCAACATGCAGACTGCAATTCTGATAGCTTAATGGTGATTCACAGAATCACAGAATGGTTAGGGTTGGAAGGGAGCTCAATGGCAATTTAGTTCCAACACCCCTGCCATGGGCAGGGACACCTTCCATTAGACCAGGTTGCTCAGAGTTCCATTAAACTTGCCCTTGAACACTTACAGGGAGGAGGCATCCTCAACTTCTGTGGGCAACCTGCTCTAGTGCCCTAAGCACCCTCACAGTAAAGGCTTTCTTCTTGCTGTCTAAGCTAAACCTACTCTCAGTTTGAATCCACTCTTCCTTGTCCAGTCAGTACATGTGCTTGTAAAACCCCCTGCCTCTCTTTCTCGTAGGCTCCCTTCAGACACTAAATCAATTTGTATTCATTTTACTGCATTTTAAATCCATTATCACTTTGAATCTATCAGAATTATCTATGCAAGTGGCAACATATCCTGAATTACATGCCAATCTTGAATCCCTAACGCATGCCGATTCTTGCAATGGATTTTACTTGTAGTCAAAGTAAGAAAAATATAACCATTATCTGTCGCAGACACCCTTTTGTGAAAATCCTTTCTTAGGATTTTTCCTGCTGAAGCTGAGAAGTTTCAGCAACAAGGTATAAACAATGGTTACCTGCTGCTGTGGAATGCATCAAGTGTGTTTGTGATTGGGCCATCTTGAATGTTTACAATTAATGGCCAACCACAGACCAGGTAGCATGGACTCTCTGTCCGAGACACAGATCTTTGTTATTCATTCTTTTCTATACTTAGCTTAGCTAGCTTCTGAGGAAACCTCTCCTTCTACTTCTTTTTAGTATAGTTATAATGTAATATATATATATATATATATATATATAATAAAAGAATAAATCAAGCCTTCTGAACATGGAGTCAACATTCTTGTCTCTTCCCTCATCCAAGAACCCCTGTGAACACTGTCACAATTATCTTCAATTTTATCCTCAGATTCTCAAAAAACCTTTCATAATTTTGATCACAGAATCACAGAAAGAGCTAGGTTGAAGAAGACCTTTGAGATCATCAAGTCCAACTAGCTCTTTTACACTCATGGTAGAATTAAGCAGGAAAATCTGACTTAAGTGACTCAAGACTTTATGTCCACTGCCTCTGCAGCTGCCAACATGAAAATTCTTTTTTGGTAGATCAGACACTAACCACTGGACTGAAAAACTTTGAATAAACAGATGTAACTTATTCTGATTTTGCCCAGGCTTTCTAATTTTTCTGTCTTAAATGTTGTCAGCTATAAGTTAAAAATTCCTGTATTACATAAGATATTATTTTAAACACAATTAGGTCCAGATTACATTTTGAAAATCAAAAATCTAATGAATAGTGATAGGTGATATTATTATGACTTAATGACAGACATCAGTCTTGGGCTCAGCAGAAGATCACTCACATTCAAAGTCCAGTAAGGTATTTAACATCTGGAATGATTTTATCACCTCTCTAACATGAAGATTGGCAGTGAGCAGAGCACAAAAGCTTTCAAGTTCATTTCTCCAACTGTCTAAATAGTCAGTCTCATCTGGTATGTTAGGACCAAAAGCACATAACTCTCTGGGCAGCCCTCAAGAGTTCTACAGTAATTTGCTTTGCATATGCTGGAACTGCAAAATAAGTCCTACTCTTTGCTTTGCTGGCCTCATTACAGCCAACATTTGTGTGTGAGTGCACACACACTGGGAGACATGGTGGCATTGAAAGGGAACAAGTGAGAGAACTGACCTTAAAAATTTGTTGTTTACACTATAGCACAGAACTCATTTAAAGATGATGGGAGTCAAATAACAGTCAATAATTTAAAACAACTGTAGTTT